TTGTGGCTGCGCGTCTTCACCGCGGGTCTCCCGTGTTGTGTCTCCACTCTGACCATGGCGGCGAGTTCGCCTATGGTTGGCTTGGACAGTTCTATCGTGCGGAAGGCATCACACCAGTCGTACACCTTGCCGGACTCACCATAGCAGAATGGGGTTGCTGAGCGCCGCATCGGCTTGGTTCATGGAGGTTGCTCGCACCTCCATGATTCATGCCGATGCCCCCCATTTTCTGTGGCCGTCGCTGTTCGCTACGCTGCTCACCAGCTTTAACCTGTGGCCCCGCTCCAGCGGCCGCAGGTTTCGCCGACCCTCCTTTGGACCGGGTCCCCCGGTGACGCGTCTGCGTTCCACGTCTGGGGCTGCCTTGCTCACGTTCGTGCCTCTGGCACGGACAAGCTCACTGCAGCCGACTGTCCCCTGTGTCTTCCTTGGTTTCCCACTGGACTCGTCTGACAATGGCTCTTCTACCACCTATCGTCTCACCGCTTCCTCCACTCTCGTGAAGTCACCTTTGACGAGTCTGTCTCCTTCTAACGCCGCTTCCCTCACCGAGGTCTCCCGGTTTCCCGCCCCTGTTCCTTGCTCCCTCTCCCCCGGTCGCCCCTCCTCCTCCCCCGCCTCGTCCTGCCCCGTCTGGTGTCTCTCACGTCACTCCTCTCCGTCGGTTGTCCCGTTGAGGAGTCTGCTGACTCTGGTGGTACCCCCGCCACGTCCTTGCCGAGTCCCCTTCCCCGTGTGTCTCCGCCTCCCCTGTCGCAGTTGCTGCCTCCGCCGCCGTCGCCGCCGCCGCCGCCGCAGCCGCCGCTCTTGGCCTCTGGGGGTGCTGGCGTTGAGGAGGGTGTTCGTCCTGCGGCTCCTGGCGTGGTTTGTCCCGTCGGGCCTAGGGGTGCCGCTGGTGCTTGAGAGGGTTCTCGCTCTGGAGGTGTAGGTTCTGGGGGTGCTGCCGTTGAGAGTTCTGCCGGTCTGAGGGTCGCGGCCCAGCCGTCGCAGCAGCCGCAGCAGCCGTCGCCGCCGGTCTCCGCTCTCCGCCTGCTCGCCTTCCCTCCCCTGACCGCTCGCCGGTGTCTCCCCCACCGCCTGCTGACCTTCCGTGTCTATGGCCCTGTGTTCCCGCCGCTGGACTCGTCTCCGGCCCGTCTTCCTCCTCGTTCCCCTCCTGTGTCCCCTCCGCTGTCTCCTGACCCTACACCTCCGTCCCACGTTTGGTCTCGTCATCCCTCACGTGCCCGTCCCGCCTCTCCTGTCCTGCGCTCCCACCTATGTTGCTCCGTTCCCACTTCGTCTCGTCCTCTCCCTCCTCCCGTCACCTCCTCCTCGTCGCTTGCTGTTGCACCTCCTCCGTTCTCTGACTACCTCTCGTGCCGCTCGTCCCCTTTGTCCCTCGGGTTCTTGCCCCTCTTGTTACCGACCCTTCTGTTCCTGTCTCGCGCCTTGACGCGCTTGTCGCTGCTGTCGCTGACTTCGCCTCTACCCGCCGCCTTGACTACGCTACCGCTCTGGTCTCTGATCCTGCCCATCCTCCGTCCGTCGGGGTGCTCCTGCCCTTGGCAGTGACGTCCTAGAGGACAGGCAGTACGAGCTCGCTTTCCTTTCCGAGGCTGCTCCCCATCTCTGCTCCATGCTGTTAGTCCCTGAGGGTGACCCAGACGCCTTCGACATCCCGACTCCTCGCACCTACGCTGAGGCCACCTCGGGACCTTGGGCCTCTCAGTGGATAGCTGCCATGGAGCAGGAGATGGCATCTTGGAGGTCCACCGGCACTTACGTCGACGCAGTTCCCCCGCCTGGGGTGAACGTAGTCGATGGTCGGTGGCTCTTCAAGGTGAAGCGCCCCCCTGGAGAGCCGCCTGTCTTCAAGGCGCGCTACGTGGCCAGAGGCTTCAGTCAGCGCAGGGGGTTGACTTCTTCCAGACCTTCGCCCGACCCCGAAGATGACCACTCTTCGGGCGCTGCTACACGTAGCAGCACAGCGCGACTACGAGCTTCACTCCCTCGACTCTACTGCCTTTCTTCAGGGCAGCCTACACGAGCAGGGCTTCACTGGTACCTTCCCCTGGGACCCAGTGGCTTCTCAGGCGCCCGGTCTACGGCCTGCGTCAGGCTCCTCGCGAGTGGCACGATACGCTGCGTGCCACGTTAGCAGACCTGCAGTTCTTTCCGTCCTCTGCTGACCCGTCGCTGTTTGTGCGTTCCGGCCAGACTCCGTTCTACATCCTTGTCTACGTAGACGACCTGGTCTTTGCTACTGCTGACAGGGACGCACTGGCCTCTGTGAAGGCCGAGCTGCTGAAGAGACACACCTGCACTGACCTTGGAGAGCTGCGTCGCTACCTTGGCCTGCAGATCTCTAGGGACAGAGCAGCGCGCACCATCACTCTGACACAGTCACACCTGGTGCGTCAGGTCCTTCAGAGGTTCGGTCTTCAGTTCTCCTCCGCACAGCCCACACCTCTACCAGTAGACCATGGGCTCTCCGCTCCCGTTCCTGAGGAGCCAGTAGAGCCCAGTGGCCCCTACGCAGAGCTGGTGGGTTGCCTCATGTACCTGATGACTTGCACTCGCCCAGATCTCGCATACCCTCTCAGCATCCTGGCTCGCTTTGTGGCCACTGGCAGACACCGACCACAGCACTGGTCGGCCGCTAAGAGGGTTTTGCGATATCTAGCAAGTACATCGGGCATGGGGTTAGTGCTCGGAGGACGCAGGCCGGTGGTCCTCACTGGGCACACAGACGCTTCTTGGGCAGACGACTCTGAGACTCTCAGGTCGTCTCAGGGCTACTGTTTCAGCCTTGGTTCGGGTGCTATCTCTTGGAGATCCACTCGCTCGTCGTCTGTTGCTCAGTCCAGCTGTGAGGCTGAGATCTACGCTGGTGCCATGGCGGCACAGGAGCTCCGCTGGCTGACCTTCTTGCTCACTGACCTAGGTGAGCGGCCTAGCTCTGCCCCGGTCCTGTACGCTGACAACAGGGCCATGATTCTCCTGTGTCAGGAGCCTCGACTTGAGGGCAGAGCGAAGCATATCCAGCTGCGGTACTTCCTCCTGCGCGAGCTACAGCAGCGTCGCCAGGCCCGCGTAGTTCACTTGGCCTCCGGTGCCAACACAGCTGATATCTTTACTAAGGCGCTTGCGCCTAGAGATCATCAGCGGCACTGTGTACAGCTTGGTCTTGTTCCTGTAGCTTCTCACTTGTTAGGACCCTGATTGTGTACTCTCTACTATATATACATGTCAGACTGGCCTTGTGGCCTCACCTCCAGTGGTCGGACTAGTAGTGCCGCCTGGCTTGCTTTAGTCTTGTTTGTACTCTTGCTGACTGGTCTCCAGACCCCTGCCTCAGTGGTTGGACTAGTAGTGCCACCCTGAGCTGTTTGCTTCTTGTTTAGCTTCACCCTTCGTCTAGCCTAGGGGGTTGTGTCAACTTATACATATTAGCTATGTAGAAGTTATAGGCTAGACTGAGGTATGCTTCTAGTGAGTACAACCAACTAGTATTTGTTCTAGGGTTTCACCTTCTAGTCATTCATTCAGTTCTTACTTTAACAATGGTATCAGAGCCGTCCGCTCCTAGCGGGCCTGCTTCTCACGCTTCCGCCACGCTTTCCTCTCCTATTCCTCACGCTGCCATGGCGGCCGCGGCGGCGTCACGTTGCGGCGGCGTTGTCTTGTCGCCGGCTGCGCCGTCCTGCCGCGGCTGTCTCGACACGCAACCGTGGCGTCGCTCTGACGTCGTCCCAGTCGTGTCGTACCGCCGCGACCGTCTCGTCGTACTGCTGTGGCGACATGCGGCCAGCGCTCGGCCTTAGCGCTGGCCAGCACACACGCACGTTGTCGCGCCACACCTGTGCTGCTGCAGCCCTGCCCCCGTCCCCTGCATCCCCTCTTAATCGCCGCAGCCGATGGCTGCCTTGCACTGGCCGTCGCACCGTTGCGGAACCTGGCCACGCCGCCGAATGGGGCGAGCGCCACCGCCGCCGCTGCTTTTGCCGAAGCCCCCGCCGCCGCCGCTGTTGCCGCTGGCCTACTTGTCGCCGCACGCCGCCGCCGCCGCTGCTATCGTCACTGCCGCCGCCGCCGTCGTCGCCACCGCACCCTCGTAGCTGTTGTCGCCGCCCCGCCGTGGAGAGGTCTACCGGGTTGTCAACAGCTGCTGCTGCTGCAGGGTAGTGGGGTGCTAGGTTAGGGGGTGTGTGTGTGTGGTGTGTGGGTGTGTGTGGGCTTGACATTGACACTACCAAGCCTAGGGGGTGTGTTAAAATTATTGAAGTTATAATTTATAGGCTTGGTATACTATTACTGAGTACTGCTGTAGAGGGTACAACACCCCTTCTTGTATGCCTCTGTCTTCTTTTCAATCTACCTTTCTTTTCGACATTTCTCCTCACTACTCACGTTCCTAGATCTACTTTCCTCCCACCATTCCATGGCGTCATTCCTAGCTAAGCTAGTGTCCTAACTTTAGGAACCTAGACTCCTAAGTTTCTGAGAATTGGATCCTGAGAAATCAGACTACCATGGAAGCTGAAACCTGGCTATTCAGACTTCGAAAAAAAAATTGGGGCGAAAATCAGAGTGGGTTTTTTTGAAACGTCAGCCCTGTTCCATAGCCCCCGGGCGTTATACAAAAAGTGCCACTAATTACACCCCCACTAAATTTTGCATCAAAATTTAGTGCCACCAGTGGGTGTTTTTATCCGGGGGAATACGGTATAAGTTGACAGTGTGTACTACCCGTAATCTCCATCTGGTCTTGATGTGTGCGACGCGAATATGATTGCTTCAAGGATTGAAAGATTAAGGCTGAAACTGTGATTCAACACACAAACAACCTCTCTTGCCGGTGGTTTATGGTAAGCAGCAACGCGTATAATGAAAGGAGATTGTGGAAGCAACTGCATTGCTGTGGTGTACTCTTCTTTCGGACTTGACGCTAGCGAGTCAAAGGAGGCCTTCCTCTTTATTCACAGCGAACCTCGAGTTTCTCCTCCATAATAGCAATCTCCTCGCGTGCCTCGTCCTCCTACCTTTTACTGCTCCTCGCGTCTCCCTGCTCCCAGCGTCAGCCCATCGATCGGGCTTTTCCAAGAGAATCTCCCGCCATGGCGACAGGCCCACTGAAGCGCCTCTGCAGGTCTCGCCTGCGCGATCTGCTCGTCGCGAGCAGCTCTCGTCAACGTCGCACAGTCGCGTCGTCATGCGATCCCATCCACCTCGTCGCCAGCACCTCCCACCGCACATTCGCCGCTCACGATCAGGTAGACGCTTCCACTCTCCACGCATGCACTCACTCCGCCGGTCACGCGCACTCCGCCGGTCACGCGCACCTCCGCCAGTCACGGTCACAGGTTTCTCGGCGGATATTTGCAACCCGCCGCCCTTCCGCGCGACCGCAGCCAGCCCGCTTCACCTCCACAGTCGCTGCGTGCTTCGCGCGCAGCGTCGGCGCGCTTTGAGTCGGCTCAGAGGCCCGGGCCCGCCGCGCCACGATCAGCGGCAGGGAGGGACGCAGCATCGCGAGCAGCAGCAGTGCGCTGCCCGCACTCAGCTGCCGCCGAGCGGCGGCACTTGGACGTGCTGCCGCGCACCCCTTCGCCCGCGCGCCGGGCAACTCGCTTCAGCAGCGGTGGCACCAGCAGCAGCAGCGCAAGGAATCCGCGGCCACCACTCCGCTGCCGCCGAGCGGTGCCGCCACGACGAGCATCGCTCGGCAGACAACGGAGCGACGACGGCGACGGGGACGGCCGGTGCGTCCGATTTTGCGACCACTGCCACGTCAGCAGCTGATGGCGACGCGGGCGCTCCACGTGGCTCATGGCGGCGCCCACGTCAGTGATGCCTCCTCGTGCTGGCTGTGCTCCGCTGATCGCGGTGGTGATGGCGGCGTGGGGGGGGATGCTGGCGACGCAGGGAGGGGCGTGGACGCAGGGAGGGGCGTGGACGCAGGGAGGGACGTGGCGCCCTCGGGTGCGAGCAACGACAGCTCCGCCAGCAAGGAAGGCAGTCCGCTGACGTGGCGGTTCTTCTGCGGGACATGTGGCGCGCTGCAACCGGTCGACAAGAGTGTGGACCTGTTTGAGCTGTTCGGCCTGTAAGTAGCAGCTGATTCGTACAACCGTATGCGGCTTCCCTTCCTGGGCTCGAGGCTGTTGCCTGCCCTTTCCCTCCCTTGCGGTGCGGGGCATGTGGCATGTTGCATGTGGCATGTGCCAGTGCCATGTGGTGCGGTGCAAACCGGTCGACAAGTGCGCGGACCTGCTCGAGCTGTTCGGGCTGTAAGTTACTTCCCTTGTGATGTCTGAGGGGTTGTTTGCGCCTTAGCCTCTGGGTGTGTAAGTAACTTCCCCTTGCGGGGCATGTGACGCGCTGCCGCCCGTGGGCAAGAGGCAGACATGTTGGTGCTGTTCAGGGCTGTAAGTAGCCGCTGATTACCCCTCCCTTGCGGGTCACTGGGTCCCAAGGAAGGTAAAGGAGGGAAGCCCATGGCTGGCTCGCTCATGGGCGCTCTAGGCTCTAATTGTTGCAGGCTGTGGGTGGGTTGATCCTCTGGCACAGTGCGGTCGGGCGAGTTAGGCCTGTGCCAAGTTCCAACCATCCAACTGCATGGGCGGAACGCTACTCGATCAACGAGATTTCGGTTCCTTTCCTCTCCTCCTCCCCTCCCCCTCCCTCCTCCCCTCCTCCCTCTTCACCCCCCACCCCCACGCGCACGCGCCCCTTTCTCATCTCCGCTGATCTGTTGCGCGCAGCCGTCGTGCGTTCGCCATCGACCTGCCGCTACTGGAGCAGCGCTACAAGCAGCTGCAGAAGATGCTGCACCCGGACCTGCACGGGGCCAAGTCCGAGGTCAGTTGTGGAGGGAGGGCAGGAGTAGGAGGGTTTCTCGTTCAAGGTTTTGGCCATTCTCTCGGCAGCGCTTTGTGCAAAGCTGCAGTGGGTGGGGTGTGTATGATTAGGTCCAATTTGGAGCTTGTTCCAAGTTGGATAACCACTGAAATATTATGATTGTGCATGGATGGTGCTCAAAATGGTGCATGTGCATGTGCATGGTGATATGCATGTGCATGTGCATGTGCATGTGGATGTGCATGTGCATGTGCACCCACGGAGCAGGAGGAGCAGCTGCTATCAGCAGAGCAGGCAGCGTTTGTCATCGATGCCTACTACACGCTGCTCAGACCCCTCTCTCGAGCCAAGTACCTGGTGAGTCTTCCTACTCACTCTCTCCTGCGCACCGACACAACTCCTCTGCTATCAGCGCTGCACAGGCAGCGGCGTTTCTCATCGAGCCTCCCTTCAACAGTTCCTGGTGAAACCGTTGGTCCTTCCTCTGTCTTATCCCTCCCACACTATTAGTGCTGCAGTGGTTGGTTAATTGCTCTTTGTGTTCGACACGCCTCCTCCTTCTGAAATGCTCTCTTACCCTCTTCTCATTCCGCGTCATTTCCCCCTGCACCCCATTGTCATGGCTATCCTTCCCACCCCCTGACCTAATAGTTGTCCACACGCCCTTCTCATTCCTTCCTTCTCCTTCCCCTCCTCCCCCCATCCCCCTTTCCCCCCCAGCTCCGCGCCAGTGGCATCACCTCAGCGGAGCTGAGTGGCGACAGCCCGGGGAGGGACAGCAGCTGCTAATGGAGGTGCGTGGGGGGGTGTATGTGTGCGTGTATGCAAGAGATCTGGAGGGAGGGAGGTGCTAGAGGGAAGGGGGTGTGAGAGGGAGTGGGGGTGAGAGGGAGGGGGAGTGAGAGGGAGGGGGAGTGGCTTTATTGCAGCGGAGCTGAGTGGCGACAGCCCGGGGAGGGATCAGCAGCTGCTCATGGAGGAAGGTGTGGGCAGGGAAGCACCACCCCCACGTGTCCATGGGGGGGAAGGAGGGGGGAATAGTGGGGAGGGTTAGAGAAAGCGGTTCTGTGCATCTCACCTCCCCCATTCTTTCCTCCATCTCGTCACCCCATGCGCCCATCCCACCCCTCTTCCCTCGTGTCTGTGCCACTCAATGACTGTCGCCCCACTGGCCATCCCGTGCGTATGTAACACCCCCACACGTCCATCCCACCCATCATTCCCCCACTTACCACTTACCACCGCATGTGTGTGTGTGTGTGTGCGCGCGCGCGTGCGTGCGCACGTATGTGTGCGTGTATGCGAGTGTGTGTGGGTGTGTTTGTTCGTGTGTGTGTGTGTGGGTGCGTGCGTGTGTGTGTGTGTGCGTGCGCGTGTGTGTGCGTGCGCGTATGTGTGCGCGTATGTGTGTGTGTGTGCGTGTGTGTGTGTGTGTGTGTGTGCGTGCGTGTTGTGTGTGTGTGCGTGTGTGTGTGTGCGTGTGTGTGTGTGTGTGCGTGTATGTGTGTGTGCGTGTGTGCGTGTGTGCGGGTGTGCATGTGTGCCTGTGTGTGCGCCTGTCCTGTCCAGGTGATGGAGCTGAGGGAGACGATAGAGGAGGCGGAGAGCAGGGAAGAGCTGCAGGCACTGCAGACACAGGTGAGGAGGAGCCCTCTGGGAAGGGCTTGGAGGGGAGAGAGGGGGCGTACAGGTGCGGGGGTTGAGCATGGTGAGTGGAGAGCACCTATCTGTGTCAGCACTTTCACTGTGAAGTCAGGTGACGTTTCAAAATGGCATTTTCAGATAAGTATGGCTGCCACCTGCAAAGTCTGGTCTTCGTATTTTCCGACCAGTCAGGCCCATTTTGGGAGGCTGACTTTTTTTGTCAAACCAGTCCGAACCAGCCATGCTATGGGAGAGCATGTGCATGTGCAAAACTCAAAAAAAGCACATTGAGGTTTGCTTTTTGCGTTCAATGCGCGGAAAAAAACTGGGACACTGCGTTTCAAGAAATGCTGAAACCGGCACGAGCAGACCCAGGATATTTCCAGGAAAAGTTGTTGCGATGACTTGCTCTGTCTGGCATGGGAGAGCATGTACGTGCTGTCTGGCATGGGAGAGCATGTACGTGCTGTCTGGCATGGGAGAGCATGTACGTGCTGTCTGGCATGGGAGAGCATGTACGTGCTGTCTGGCATGGGAGAGCATGTACGTGCTGTCTGGCATGGGAGAGCATGTACGTTGCTGTCTGGCATGGGAGAGGCATGTACGCTGTCTGGCATG